CAGTGTCAACCTGAGGATGAGTCACGGCCATTGCTTGACCAATTTGCTCTCTGTGAAAGCTTGAGAAAATATTTTTTCTCTCCATGTGACTCTCCCCAGGCTCACTTTGGATCCTCGAACACATTTCTCTGTGGCTCCATAATCTTCTTGATCAAAAAATTTGGAGCACAACTGAGTTACATGTTGTTACAGTACAGGTTCTCCTATGTCCCGAGTCTTCACTGACCTTGAAATAGCCTGTAATTTTAAATCATAAATATAAACAAAGATGTTAAACTTTTAAGTCAGACTACTTTGGATTAAATTCCCTTACAGAGAAATTTGAGAGTGTTAAAAGTACAGTCTTCCATTTTTTTTTGTCCTTTTAGGATTTGGCACGAATACCAGTGGGAATAGTATTTTTGGAAATAAACCAGCACCTGGGGCTCTGGGAACAGGACTTGGCACAGGATTTGGAACAGGTAAGGAACTGCCACCATGAGGTTTAGGAAATAATATGTCTTGGTTTTCAGGTTGTTGGAACTTAAGAGTTCCATTTGATTATGTGCCTGAAAATGAGGGACCTATGTTTTCATTTTTGCAAGTGGATTTGTAAAACATTTACAACAGTTAATATTGTACTAGGTCCCAAAACGTTGGCAGAGGTTTTAATTGTTGTATGTTATTATTATTTTGTTATTTGTAGTACTGGGGATTTAAACCAGTGGTGCTACAGCACTGAGCTACAATCCCAGGCCCTCTTTTATATTTATTTATTTTTAAATAAGTTCTCAGTATAAATTGCCCAGATTGGGCTTGAGCATTCCATCCTCCTTCCTCAGTCTATCTGATAGTTGAGATTAAAGCATGTATTACTACCTAGCAAACATTGACACGTTTATCTTAAAAAGTAATTTAAAATACTTTGAGTTTTACAAGGTCTGTGCATGCCTTTCAGTCCTTTCCACTGTGATCAGAGATCTTGGGTATTATCCTCTTTCCCTTATTCTTACTGTCATTTGTTTTTCAGTGCATTTGAGAATCCTATAATCAAGGGATTGTCATCATAAAATGCATAATTGTTAAAGCATGTACAGTTAAAACAGCTTAGTCATATAATTTCCTACTTTTCTCAGTTCATATGACTTGAGTATAGTTATTGAGTTGCAAACTCTTATTTCCATGATTGTCTCTTATCTTTGTTTCTGTGAGCTAATCATTCTCCTTTTCTAGGGAAGTGCTTATTCCACTGAGCCATCTCCCGGGCCCCATTCTCCTTTTCTATTACGAAATGTTACCTTCATTTCCTTTTTAAAATAAAAGATGCAAGTGCTGGTAAAGTTTCAACTATTCCAATATATATTGAGAAGTCCGAGTGTCTCAGCTATGAAGTACTAGTTGCTAAAAATTTGGCATGTATCTTTTGTTTTTCTTTTAATGTATTTGATATAGGGTCTCACTACACAGCTTAGACTCATAGTGATCCTTGTTTTTAGCCTCCTCAGCACTGGGATTAGAGGTGTGTTCCATCATGCTTGGTACCTGGTCTTGGTGGCCTAGCTCAGTGTTCCTGGGGGCGGAGCCGGTGTGGCCTGTGGTGCTGGGAATCAAACCTGGTCCCTGCACTTGCCTAAGCAAGCACTCAGTCTGCTGAGCTATCACGCCAACCTTGGCATGTATCTTGTGAGATAGCTTTCTGCATTATTTGAACATGCTTATATATAAACAGTTGTTTGTATGTGTTTATATAGCGGGTTTTGGTTATATTCTTAACAACAACCTTGCCTTATGTCTGTGGTTTTGTTTTGTTTTTGGTGATGGTGGTAGTACTGGGATTTTAACACAGGACCTCACACATTCTAGTCAAGTGCTCTACTGCTTTGCTATATGCCCAGTGCTGTATGAATGATTTTTTTTTTTTTTTTAAAGCAAAGACCAAGATGTATTCATTCATTGTAGTATTACTGTAGTGGGCTGTAAATAGGATTTTTAGAGCCTGAACTAAAATTGAGTATCATTGTACACACCAAATTCACTATCCTTCCATAAAAGTTCTGTTTCCATTATGTGTGGTGCATGTTTTGATTCTTCATATCATTTGTTATAGTAAAATATGTTTTAAAAGACCTGCATTACAGTATACCGTGACTTAACATTTTCATTTTACATATTCTTAGCTACTTTTTTTCCTTTTTGATCAGTATCTATAGATCTCTTTTTAAAAATAACTGCTTGGCCAAGCATGGGTAATTTTGGTTCTTTCTTTGAATTGGCTATATTGCTCAGGCTGGTCTCAAACTCCTAGGCTTATGGAAAACTGGCCTCTCAACCTCTTAAGTGGCTAGGACTACAAACATAGGCCCCTGCCCGTGGTTTATTGGGCTTTTTTCATTGGTAATGAAAATGGGTGTTTCAGCTTATACTTTTCTCACTGTTAGTACTGGTGGGCATCTTAACCATTTCTTTTAGTTCTACATTCATGCGATTTTTTAGTTTAACTTTAGAAATACCTTATATATTTTTCATTATGTGGAACAGTTTTCTTTAATCTTAAATTTCTTCCACATAAATTTTTTAAAAAACAAAAACTAAAAGGGCTGTTTTTTGGCATAGTGTGATCCTAAAACATTAGTGTTTGCTTTATTTAT